TATTCAACTGACATGTGCCAAGCATGAACTAGGCCACTACCACCGGAAATCAAATCCACAATGGCAGAACGAAGATTTTGAAAATCCAGCGCCCTAGCCATTCGATTGCGTTCTTTTTGTTACAAAGATTACAAATCCAGTGCCTTTACCTCTAGGCTAGCCGCCTCCTTAAAGAGTTAGATTGAATTTAAAGTGCCTATGAAGTGAAACTTTTTTTGCTTTTATCTGTCGCTTTTTGTCTACTTTTCGAAACTGCCTAAAGCGAATAATGTTAGAAAGATAAAAATCCCACTTTTTGCCGCCCAAAGTGAGCTCAGTATTGCAAAACAGTGGGTCCGGAGACTGGCAACGAGTTTACAAGCGATTCGTTTACCCCACTTTGCCTCTGTAGCTATGTGAATTGCCATAGGAGATTTCTTCAAAGTTCGCCATTTTTTTTTGCAAGTAAAATGTCAGATAGTGATGGATATATGTCCTCTAGTGAAAGTTCCAACGTGCAAGAGTCGGAAAGTAGCGATGAAGTCGTCTTAACAATTTCCTATGTCACGGCATTGTAATACATTCGTTTTGGCCGCGCGCAAAATGGACCCACTTTCGGTTGTCAAATTCGAACTTTGAACAGCAAAAAATCAAATTTTTCTCTCTTTAACATTATTGACTTTTGGCAATTTCGAAAAGTAGACATAACAAGCGACAGAAAAACGGAAAAAAAAATTCACTTCATAGGCACTTCAAGATGACAAGAACAAATCATAATAAATTACGTGCTATTTCTTCTTTCTGTTCAGCTGCTTCGTCCGATTGTGAGAATACTCCGCTAGATATAGCTATCGTTATTGACCAAACGAGGAGCGTAGGACCGAGAAACTATGATAAAATGTTGGACTCGGTCAAATCTCTCATTGACAAGTACGATGTTGGCGAAGACAAAGCGCACTTCTCGATCGTCACGTACGCTAGAAACGCCAAAGTTCGAGTGAGTCTTGACGATCCAAAGTACTACAGCAACGAGGCGCTTAAAGAACTTTTTGACGAAATGAAGAAACAAGACAAATTAGGAAGCCTTACAAGGACTGACGTAGCGCTGAAAACAGTTGGCGAAGAAGTGTTTGTTAAAAAGAATGGCGGTCGACCAGAATCACCGAACATCATGATCGTTTTCACTGACGGGAATACGCACAAAAGGTCAGAGGATTATGAAACCGTGATACCAGCGCTTGAGGTGAGAACATGTATGCATTGGTAAGAGAAATATAGTTGTAAGACCTCTGGGCACACATCGTAACTTGAAAGACCTCGAAATTTTTTAAGGGCGCATAATTATCGCAATCACGACAGCCCTTATCTTCGTTGGTGGAGGCGCGGTGACCTCATGGTTAGTTCGCTCGCTTCTGGATCAAGCGGTTCAGGATCGAGCCCTGACCGGCGAGATTGTGTTAATAATATAATAATAATGTATCTTAAAAGAAAGTGAAGAATGATCATCGCAGTAAATTTTCAATTTAAGCAATTGGAAAGAAGAAGCCTGAAAAACATCAGGGCTTCAAGGGGATTCGAACCCGTGACCTCCGTGATACCGGTGCGATGCTCTACCAACTGGGCTATGAAGCCACACATTGGGAGAGAGGTCAATTAATTGAGTTCATATCTTCCCGTGAGAAGTGAAATGATGTGAAGAATATATGAAATAATTCATACTTGAACTGCCGTTGTAGATGAAAGTGAAGAATGATCATGGCAGTAAATGCTTTAGAAACCAGATATAAGCGCCGGCCTGATGGGTCAGTCAGTCAATCAGTCAATCAATCAATTTATTAATGTCATACGTGCAAAAAGAGGTTGCCTCGGTATCTTAGCCAGGGGCTCATGTATAGGACGCATGACAAAGATAACGATAAAATAAGAGAACAAAACGGACTAGTTAAATACCAGTCAAAGACAAAATTTTAAATTTTAAGTGTAATAGTAAAATAAAGAACATGAAATAATATAAAGGTTGTAGATATATATTCATCAAGCCTAAAACTGAGACATCTCTCATTAGTGCCAATAAATTAAACAATAATAAACTGTAAATCTTTATACATGCGAGATATCATTTTAACCTGCTTAATTTAAAACTGGGTTCGCTGGCTCGTGCATAGTGAATACTAAATAAGTCATTTCAGAAGTAGTTTATTTCTTCTTATTTGTGTTTCGTCTCCAACAAAGGCGGCTGGGGTTAATCGAGTTGCTGTTGGCATTGGCAAGAATATTGATGAATCAGAGCTTGAGACCATTGCTGGAGACAAGAACCGAGTGGTTAATGCACAGGATTTTGGAGACTTAGACAACCAGTTGGATGATATTCGTGAAAAAACTTGCAGTATGTATTTTGTCCGCAGTGCTTATTCGTTGACGTATTGTTCGGGAAATAATATTTAAATTTGAGCGACAGGCAAAAAATTATGACCGCACAGTTCATCAGGGAATCCTGACAGGGTAACAGACAAAGCAGACCTAGAGGGAAGAATAGCGAAATCGACGATGACGAAATGGAAACAATTGCGGAGGAAGATACTGTGGAAGTTGACCAATATTTTCAGGCTTTCACAGAGTGGTTTTATTTGTGGCCTCTGTGAAAGGCAAGAGGCCTACCGCAGTCAATAAGCCAGTCATTAAGTCAGTCAGTCAGTCAGACAGCAGTCAGACGGTGAGTCAGTCAGTCGGTCAGTCAGTCAGTCAGTCATTCAGTCAGTCAGCCAGTCAGTCAGCCAGTCAGTTAGGCAGGCTGTCAGTCAGCCGACAAGTCAGTCAGTTGGTCAGTCAGTCAGTATGCTACATGTATGATATAGGACGACGACTATAAATCATACTGGACGGATGCAATAAGTGTAACAAAATAATGATTTTTATTGTGATTGTCATTGTGAAGATAAATTAGTATGCAAAAATCGAAGTTTACAAACTCTGTGTGTATTAAAAAGGAATATCCATACATTTTGCGTGCTTGCTTACACTTTAGATATCGATGGAGGTTATACGGAATGGTCCAAATGGACGGAATGCACTGCAACTTGTGGTGGGGGAACCCGTCGACATTCAAGAACTTGCACCAAACCTAAGCCAAAAAATAATGGGAAAACTTGTGTTAAACAGAAGCTTGGCCCACCTAGTGAGACTGAAATCTGCAACACCAAGAAATGTAGAAAGAACATAACAGTCATTTTTCTTCATAGTTTACCTCACCACAGTCCATTTTGAGGGTTTGAATCGGGGTGCTGAAATCCCAGTTGTCAGTTTTATTTGAAATTTTTAGCCCATTTTTCAGTTTTTAGTCAATTTTGCACATCTCGCCTTTTTTATTTGAAGTGACAAGTAAACTATTGAGCAATTCTCAGCTATCTAAATCACGTAGTTTTCTGGTGGCTGAGTTTAGCTAAACTGTTATCTGTCTTAGGAATTGCAAATTATGACTTAATTGGAATCATTCTGTAAAGTAAATGTTTTTCGATGTCTTATAACCTTGGTGGAATTCAGTTTGTTTTGAATTAAACACGCACGATTGCGGTATGTTCCGAAAAATGTCATAATCTTTTTTCTTTTTTTCATCCTCAGTTCCTTGCTCGTTGGTAGTGACCTCCTTAGTTTTTTTTATCGTTTCTTTGAAGGTCCAACTCCGGAGCCTCCTCCTCCAGAACCTTGCAAGGAACATCTTGATGTCGGTGTCATCATCGATTCCTCCAACAGTATATCCCAACGGGACTACAATATTACTCGTCAATATATAGTACAACTGGCTGAAAGACTTGAAATATCTGAAGCAGGTACACATATGGCGATCCTTCTCTACAGCTTCGAAGCGCATACTTGGCACAGGTTGGTAATTAAAGCAGTTGAACTGTAACCTGGGCCTTCCTCATCTGCTTTTCTCATGAAAGCAGTTTCAGATGCAAACACATTTACTGTCTAACTCCAAACGGAACTATCCCTTACGTTTATCTTTTGATTAATGTTTCCTGCTTCATTAATTAAGCCCAATCCAGGACATGTGTTGTTCGTGAGGGAATACAGATTTATTTCTTATTTTCAACAATGATTTGTATCTGGTTTCTAGAATTAGAGACACCAATAGGATAAATAAAATATGCGACAATGTTATTCCAAGTCAAGCTATGAAGTATTAAATAATGGTATACGTCATTAAGTGGTAAACACGAAATTAAAGACCGTGTTTGACGACACTTCCAAACATCTTGAGAGAGTTGAAAATACGATGGGTGGCGGAGTAATATTTTGGCAGACTTCAGTATTTGAAAATGTGGACGCTCTCTTGAGTGCTTGATGATCGTAAATAGTAACAATCTTTTATTAGGAAGCTCCATCACTAAAAGTGGTTTACATAGAGGTCCTAATACTAGATATATACTATATAATGATACAATTATAACAATCTAGTCTATTACATTCTAACTAAGTTCAGATATCTAAACACCGTCATTGTCAGGATTCTCTTTTTGTAAATAGATGATTGATTACTGGACTTGTTTGAGAAGTTATTGTTAATCTCCACTGTTCTAGATTTTCCGATACCCAATCGATTGATGCAATACACTCCAAAGCTGACAGTTTGCCGCACATTCAAGGTGGAACAAGAACAGATAGAGCCCTGGAACTAGCAGCTAAAGATTTCTTTGGCTGGGAAGACAGCGGTGACAGACCAGATAAACCAAACGTGTTGATTGTGCTCACAGATGGTGACACGAATGGAGGAAGTAAGCCATTCAGCCAAGTGACCCCACCTCTGGATGTGAGTAATAATCAGCAGACTTTTCCTCTTCATCGTTTTTCGACTGAAGTTTTTGTTCCAAACTTACATCTTAACATCTTAAAATCCACGATAACCCAACACAAAGCGAAAATTAAATACCACAAAATTGCACCTGACCAAAAAGGGAATGAAGGTTCTTATGTAATTTATCAAAAAACCGA